AGGAGCGTATCTTCCATTCACAGACTTTATCCTACGGATAGACCAAGATTCAACATTTCCCGCTTTGTTCAAATTTCCGCTAAATTTGAAATTCCCGCCATTTTTCAGTTGCTCAACCCCCCTTTCTAAGCTCCAGGTCATATAGTAAAGTCGGGGACGTATTTCCAAAATTTGAATAAAGCGGGCTCACCTAGAGACCATTTCCTATCGGTAACCGCAATAATTATGAAAATCGGTCCGGTAGAACGCTGCAACTAAGCGTTACCGGATATGCAAATTTATGAGGTCTCGGAGCTTATAGTATAGATTGCATTTTTTTAAAACCCATTTTTTGCATATTTACTTCTAAATTTCGAATCGTGAAATGAGGGGCTTGAAGGACAAGGTGCACAAGTGCAGTTTTTGCTATTTTGAGAAATGTTGGTTTGAAGTTTCGGAATTACAAGAATCCTTACGGCGAGAGGAAAGTTCAAACTGACTTCTTGATGATTGCAAATCGGAATTTGGGAGCAAATTTTTCGCAGAAAATGCATTAAGTTTAGTTTCACTTAAAATCATTAATATCTCAACTTTTCAAAACTGCACTCATGCGCCTTGTCCTCCAAGTCCCTCGAATAATATCGTCTATTTTCGAGAAACCTGACTGCTCGTTTTATTTCCTAGCTTCCTTTTTCCTCTGCGCATTATGCCTCGAGAAAGGACTCGTTAACTAAATTTAAATTAATTTTACCAGTGGCGAGGCGATGATCGATTTTCGATACTTACCCGTTTGAAGCTAGAGGAATAATAGAAGAATCGAATGTTGAGAATCAATTAAAGAGGTGTTCGTTGGGAATATCCTGTTCATCCATCCTTTTCCGTAGGTTTAAATGGCAGATCAATCGATAAATCGCAGAGCACGCCACGCCGCTGCGTTATACCTATCGGTAAAATGCAACTTCGTTCCGCAACAAACGGCAACAGTGCAACACTTTTCGTCCGTCCAAAAGTGAGATTTGACCCGGGTCATAAAACATTTTGAGCGCTTGGATTGATATTTTACCAGCTTCTCACATATCTTCCCTCTATTTGAACGTATTTATGCCAAAAGGAACTATGTCTCACGCAAGCCCTATGCACATAGTTCCTTTTAGCATAAATACGTCCCATTGAAGTCATGGAGCGATTTAGCTGCTCATAAAAGAGAAGTTTATATCTATTTTAGACTCTCAATCGATTTTCTGCTCGGCCATAGTCGGTCCCAGGTACAGGGAAAGGTGCCTCGTCTCTTGAATCAGATAAACGAACCAAAAAGAAAATAAGAGTGATTAGGAGTGCCCCCACTGCTCCCTCCCCCACAAAAAAAATCTCTTGCGTGAGAATTCAGATAATCAAAACATATTCGGCACTCGATATAATTCATCTTCACGTTGCTAACCCGGTTTTGATGTTGCTGAAGCCAGAGCGCCTACATTATTTTGAATATATACAATGCTGACAGCTGTAAACAATGGTAACAGCGGAACAGTTGCATCCAGGGCTTTTTTCCTTTGATAAGGCAGGTTTTCGTTTGGTGAGAGCAGGAGAAGACTAGTTAACCATCATGTCTTGAACAAGCGACACGGGAAAGTTACTGTGCAAGAAGGCCACCATTGTAAACGATTATAATTGCATCGCGCCGCAAAGATCAACGACACGCTCAAAATGTCCCGAAAATGTTTTGCCAAATCAAGAGCACGAGGAAAAGGATGCGGAAAAGTGCATCCTAGGAAGTACGTACGGGGGAAGGGGCTAGAAAACTCCCTCTCTTTCACGTATAAGAGAAAGGTCCAGAGATCATTCCTTGAGGAATTATATATAATTTAGCGAATTAAGGACATTTAGGGCATTAATGGTGTTGAAAATAATTTTGAGTGATGAGGGGAGGAAAATTTACAAGGCTTATCAGAAATATATTGTATGGGGCTATGCTCCCTAGTACAATATATTTCTGTATGCTATCTTTCCATTTGTCAATGTAGAATCATTCACTCAAGCAGTCTTGATTTTCACGATAATTAACTGTTTAATTAATTGATTAATTCATTTATTCATTCATTTATTCATTCATTTATTCATTAAACCCTCGGACACCGAATTTCACGAAAATCGTTCGGGCAAGCGCCGACTTAGCGTTTTAGGCCACGGCCACCATCTTGGATTTTGAAATTTTAAAAATCTGGCCGAAAATTCGAGAGTCCCGTCGAAAAGTTGCCCCCGCCACCAATTTTCACATAAATCCGTCGAAAAATACCCCCTATAACCTGAAATCTCGTCCATAATGCTGTGACGTCACGCGGTATTAGGATTGATCCTGTTCGGCACGGTACGCGTGAACAACCTCGTATCTCCAATGCATTATCGTGCGGAGAAACAACTTTTCGCTCTTGCGGACGTCCTGGGCAACGTATTGGGATCGGAATAATTTTGATCAACTCCTCACGACAATTGCCAAGCGTGTACCAAGTTTAAAGGAAATCGCTCCGGCCATTTTTTCTCGGGAGGGGGGGGCGCAGAGTGAGCCGGTACGGCAGCTTTATATAGAGTAATAATTAGGTCACTTAAAGTAAGCTCCCCACTAAAGGAAAAAATAAAAGATAAAATGATATGAAGGGCGCGAGGCGGACGAGAGGATGTCATGGAACCTGCTAAGTACGTCAGTTCATCTCCGAACAAGAACCTTTGAAATCCGCTCCAATCCCGACTTATGTAAATTCCAAAGCAGACATGGATAGTTCCGATGAAATGTTCAAGGGATGCATGGGCGCAGTAAGGGCGCGGAGCGCGGGAATATCGCCGAACATGACGCAATGCAAACCTCTCGAGAGTGCTTGCATATACTCCCACGGAAACCTCACGAACCGTGACGGGTATAGTTTTTCATTATCCCGGCGCTTGGTAGCCGATCAATTTATTTCATTATCAACGATGCGATCTTCAAAATCAGCATAATTCGCGCGCAATGAATGGAATTTAAGCCGGGCATTGTTATGGTGATGAGTGCGGCAATCGATATACGGACGGGACTCGGCCACAAAGGATAGCAAACTATTTTCCGAATGCCCTTCAGCAGAGGTATTCCACTCCTGATCACAATAGCTCATGCTGCGGCTGGACAGCTCCGCGATATCAAAAGAGGCTCAGCGTTGCAGCCAACTGGGCACGCTCAATGCTTATGTGCTTGCTCAATAATTGAGAAGCGTTCCAGCCTCGGGCTCCGAGGAGAGCTCTTGTAAATTCCTCCACAACTTCGGCGAGTCCTCTCACAAAAATTCGAATCAATTACCCTCCTCCGAACCAGCCACGCCGCCCCCGCCCTGCCCCGCATCGAGAGGCAAACGAAATCCCTGATATTTCGCCTTCAAATTTGGAGATACAACCCAAGCCCACACCCAAGTTAATTGAGTTGCATCCACCGCTGGGACTGGGCTGTATTCGGAATCAATCTACGTATCCTGAGCACTAATTCCTTACATTTGAGACAGTATCAATAAATTGACGGATACGCACAAAATGCGCACATACAAATTGCAAATACGCAGGTTTGCCACAGATTTTAGAAAAAGAAATTCCCTTACATTTCCCTGACACATTTTGGTAAAATTCCCTGACAATTGAAGATGTGACGGGTGGTTAAGAGGGCATAATTGAAAATAGTTTTTGAGCAAAATTTCTTGTTCGAAACCTCAAACCCATTCAAGAAAGCAAATCAAGGTGCTTTCACAAGTTTTCCAAGACATTTTCGTCATTTTCCCTGACATTTCTCGGTTTTCTCTGGCTTTACAAAATTCCCTGATATTTCCCGGTTTTCCCTGACTGTGGCAACCCTGGCACAGCCATGCTGAGGATAAACGCCGAATGAACATTCGAATGTTGTCAAATGCCTCTCGATAAAGTAAAAAGTAAGTAAGTTTTTTTAAAGAAAGTCGTGGATATTTTTCTATGGGATTTTCAGGTGATATCCATCAAATTGCGAAATTGTGAAATTTACTTGAGGAATTAGTGATAGTGTAGGAATGAACCTGCGACGCACCTAAGACACAAAATTAACCTTTTTTAAGACACAGGAAAATCAAACTTTGACCTATCCCTGTAAATCACTATTCAATAGATTAGACTCTGAATTTGACCGAGACCTTCCTTAGTCTTATTTTTAAGCAAGTAATATTTAACTCTCAGATGTGGAAACTGGAAACCCTCTTTAAGGCGACTCAGAATATAAATAAACTGATCAGACGTTGGCATCAAAAGACATCTGGAGTAGGTAGACAACATGGCAAGTGAATCTCTGGTGATAAATGAGCAAGAATTTGATGAACGGACCATAACGGAAATTGAAATACTTTTTGCAATTTGAATGCCTTCATGATTTCAAATAGTACAGTGCTTGGGAAACGGCTTTTTTTTTTTTTTTTTTTTTTTTTTTTTTTTTTTTTTTTTTTTTTTTGAGAGCACACTTGGACTTTGAAAGCCTTAATAATTTCGAATAGTACTGTGCTTGCGAAACTGCGAGGAGAAAAAAATACACTATTATCGAGAACTGTATGAGTAACAGCCGCACTTTTTGCTTAGTTGTTTTATGTCGCGTGAAATCAGAAGAGGGGCGTCACGACTGCAGAGTCGAATTTGGCATTTACGTCAAGTGATCTGAACTTCATGATCTCGCATCCCCCCCTCCCCTTCATTATTTTGTCATACGATCCTCTTTCATATATCCATCCTTATTTACAAAATTATTACTTAATTTTGTCTATCATTTACTGAGGGAATGAACAAAACCAAAACTTTGAAAAAATATAACATCATTATTCGCCTTTTTAAAACGAATAACGTACGGATTGTGTTAGCCCTTAGCCATTCATCACACTCATTATATTCTTACACATTGCCTCATACGGGATACACAATTATGTGCGTCCCATCTAAAATGCAGAGAAAAACGCTTCAAACCAAAATGAAAATAATTTTGGAAAGTAACTTACCCATATCCGAGTCTGAAAAATCTTCCTCCTCCTCGAGATCAAAGTCGGACGTGCTGCTCGTGTCAAAAACATCGTCTAGCGTGCAATCCGTTAGGGGGACATTGTGATTGGCTATGTTCTCATTGTCAGTAGTCTGGAACTCATCTTGACAGCTTAACTTGTTGTAACCCAATTTTTTACTCACGAATGCTGCGCAACAAAAAGAGAGAGAAAAAAAACTGTAGGCACGACAGACAGATGGTGTTTCCCTAAATTAGATTTGTTGAGGTGAGAAAGAAGGACAGGAGTCTCATTCCGGAATGGTAGGAAAAGAACCATTACCTGTTTTTTTTTTACAGAAAATTCGGTCTTTTATCAATTATTTTAGATAACTTATCGAGATTTTTAGATGTTGTTTCCGAAGTCAAATTCGGCCACCGTACCGATTTTTATTTAAGTTTAGATTTTAGACGCCCCTAACATGATGCTTAAGACTATGAGAGGCACGAATCGAGATACGCATTTTCAAGTTTTACTAGCGAATCTTATGGCTGTATCCAGAGAATACAAATCTCAAAATGTGAATTTACAAATATTCTTACCAATCTTGCAATTTTCTTTGATTTTCCTTTACCCTATCACGGTAATTCCGCAAAAATACTAGGCTATACATAGTACCCATGCATCGGTTTGTCTTTTAAAACTATATTATGCGCGGATAAAAGGAACTGTGTCGCACGCAGACCTTATGCACTTGGCTCCTTTTAGCATAAATACGTCCATTTGAGAGCAGCATTGGAGATACTCGTTTTCAGAGTTTAGCCTTCAATTTCTATTAACCTCATATAAGCTCACAAAAGGCGCATTTACATAGCGTGACAACAAATTCTCGGAGCGATGTTTCTAGCAATAGTGCGGACGGGATATTGTCTACATTTGGACGTTAATTCATGAGTGTCAAAACGGGTTTCTCTGCCGACATTGTGAGAGGAGAAGAATAATTTTGATGGAGGTCCCATCCGAAACCTCTGACGAGTCGATTTCCAAATCGATATCTATAAATTCCTGTATCTTAGCAACGCCGTCAATCGATCCGGGTGATTCGATGACGATTCATCAATCGACTAGCTGAGGGGTAAAAAAGTGATGAAACACCTTCATTATTCTGTGAAAACGAATGCACACTTCGCTTGATTTATTCCTCCGGGAACATTTAGATTCAGAACATTCGACCCTATACCAGTCGCGTGGCGTGCTTTGCGGCAAATCGATTTGCCTGCCTTTAAACCTATGGAGAAGGATCTATAAATTGGGTGTCCGCAACCAACACCTTAATAATCGATCCTTTACGATAGTTGCAAACGAAGAAATATCGAGAATCGATCATTCACGCCTCGCCATTGCCCTATACAATCAGGCCGAATTTTGGTAGTTCAATCGGCAGCGCTTCCCGGAGGTTCGGCCTTTTATCTGCTTTATATTTAATGCAGCTCGAATTTCAAAGTTTTCGTTGCAAGCGTTCGTCTAATACGAAAGAGTTTCTTCTACATAGATTTTGGAGCTTGTAAGAGTTGATCATCAGGCACACAATCGGATCCAAAATTACTGCAAGGTAGGTACGTAAGCTGGGCAGCTTTTAGCGGAAGGGAACCAATTTCCTTGAGATTGAAGCGACTCGCTCAGCAAGAGCAGTCGGCAGGATTCCACATTGTATTTATATATGTATAGATCATAGTATGTGCATTGAAATTCGGACCTATTTCTGCCAAACAGAATCATAGTGTGTGCATTGAAATTCGGACCTATTTCTGCCAAACAGAACTATGTGCGGGTGGGAAAGACGTGGGGTGTGCTCGTGGTGAGCTGGCAAAGATATAATGTAAAAGTGTGCGCTATATTCCTTTTGGTGAATTGGAGAAGTGAGATTTTACATTCACCAAAAGGAACTATACATATGTAACAACTGTATGCGGGACTCATGAGCCATGGGCATGGGACAAAAGCGTTGTGGACGGGGCTCATGAGTTAAAGAACGTGGAGATCGACCTTTTCGGCTCCGTCGTCGCCGCTCATGTCACAAGCGTTTTACATATGGACTGACCTATAAACTCTGGCTCATCTGAAAAAACACCCATGTGCATAGGGAAAGTAATGGCACATACGTTGTTTTTAAACCGGGCCGGAATTTATAGTTCCTAATTGCAAAATGTAGTCCATATAATCCCTATTCATTCTTACTGTCCGAGAACTAACGAGCACACCCCATATTTCTCACCCGCGCATACTCCTGTTTGGTAGAATTACGCCCATTTGAAAGACGATTTCACTGGATATAGCGTAAGAAATTCAGCACTACGACATATGTACCCTCATCAAGATTCCATACAAAACACATGAGTGTCCTAATACATGAGTGCGGAACACTTATAAAATAGAAAAGTTAAGTACAGTGCGAACATTATTCGGTCGTAAAAAACATCAAAACTGGGTTCTTTATTTCATTTTTTAGTAGGACACGGGAAAAAATATTTGCTGAAATGGCGAAAAATGCTTTGGGATTTCTGCGATTCGTTTTTTTTTTTTTGCTAAAATGCCCACCCTCGTGCGAAGAATGAAACAATTCAACAAAACAAGAAACAATTTCCAAACATAGTGATTTTACTTAGCGGAAATAGCACATTATGATTTTGCGAAAAAAGCATTTAATAGTTTATGGTATTACGGCTAAAACTTTTGCTATGTTTGCAAAATGTTTGCTGAATTAGCTTATGGTATTGCTTTTTTCATTAATTATTTTGCGAAACTTGACGGAAAAAACGACTGTACGGCAGTGGGCCCTACACTGTAGAGCTGGGCACTAAAGTACGGTGGATCAAAGGGAGCCACCTACCCCGAGTAGTGCTGGGCACTAAACAGTTCGAGACTGGGTAACTAAATACATAGTAGTGTCCAACCCTGAAGTGACTTTGGCGAGCGTAAAATGGAATGACTCCGCCCGAGATTGAGAAAAAATGGAATGATGCTATCGGTGTAAGTGGGTGATTGTAATGGACAGAGGAGGTAAGTTATGGACTAACTAACTGCAACCCAAGAGGCACTCTTCAGTTAGTCCATCACTCCTACACGGAAAAAACAAGACTAGTGTTGAGCACTACTGGCCGTTTAGTGGGGAGTAGTTGAGGGCTGGCGTCTAAGCGCTGTACAGCCCAACATCGGAAGGCAGTACCGGTGGGCACTGAACATGAGTAGTGCTAATCAGATGCCGCGAGACGTAGTTGCGCTTAACAGGTGTAAATTCACCCATAAGACGTCGGAGTCACAATAGCCTGGTGGTAACGCGCTAGTCTTCCACCGGCGCAACCCGAGTTCGATCCCAGGCGGAGGTGTTTCATATTTTACGCTCGCTCCAAAGTCACTTTAGGGCTTGACACTACTTTTTCCTTAGTGACCCAGCCTCGAGCTGTTTAGTGCCCAGCACTCCTCTGACTTGCTGGCTCCATTTGATCTAACCCTCGTTAGTGCCCAGCACTAACATGTAGGTCCCAACCCTAAGCTCGTTTTTTCCGTGTACCTTAAGCTAGAAATAACCACCCCAATAAGGCAATAGGATCACTCCATTTTCCCGTTCGTATTCATTATCTATCGCTTTATCTATCAGATTCAATGATAAACCCGCAGCTCTGTGAGAAAGAGCTACGTATAAATTAAGCAGTCACACAATTGGATTACATTTTGCGATAAGGAACCACTATAGTTCTGGCCCATTTTAGAAACAACATAAGTGCATTGGTTTCCCTATGCAGATATGTGCTTTTATGAGCGAGCCAGAGATAGTGGTACCTTATTGCAAAATGTTATCAAGTTTATGAAAGCCTTATAAGGATGTATTTGTAATGTACGAGAGGGAACGAAAGGCCAAATTTTCGATTTTCAGTTTTCAATGGATCTAGTTTCTCCATAAGCTACACTGACATGTAAATATGCCCCCAGAAAACTCATTTCATCACCCGTGGGAACAGCGCCTGAAAAACTGCAAAGATGGAGGACATGACCTACAATGCTATCTCGGGTCTTGTTCAGTCGATCTTGGCGAAACTTGGTAGCAGAGAGGGTTTTTGGCTGGGAAACTCGAATTTCTGGTCAAATTTCGAAAATTCGAAAATCCAAGATGACGGATGTGGCTTAAAACGCTATGTAAATATACAAACTACACGTATAGAATGGCCGCCAGATAGGGAACCTGATTACGCGCATGGACAGGGTTTTAAAGGCCGTAGGGGGGTGGGAGCCCAAGTACACCTAACCTCTATTTCCATTCCCGCGGCATCTTTCCCATACGAATTACATGTGAAAATTTCCGCCTTTGTAAACTTCAATTATTTTGAAGTGTACTTTCAATGTTACTCTTTTTCAAGTAAAGAATGCCGTATGTGAGAAGCGATTTTGATGCCATCTTTTCATTGACATCTTTTTGATCAATAATATTCGGCAAAATGTGGGCAGTTGTAGGCAAATGCAGACGCGAGTTTAAATAGGAGCTCAGAAAACGCAACTTCCAACTTATTTCTCGTGGTCGTGGGTTAATATTGTTAAAAAAAACCAAGTTTCCACAAATCTCCGCCGCACGCGCGTCGATCAATTGCATATAGTGCCGTTTGATCTAATTCAGTATGCCGGATAGCGCATTAAATCAAAATGACCTACGGGCAAAATCCTCTATATCTCGCTTAGTAGTTATTTTGTCGCAATTCTGTTGACGCGTGTAAGTAGAAGAACTCCTCAACTTTCAAACAATCTATAGTAAACCAAAATCGGTTCATTAGTAAGGAAACACAAATGGTCTTAGTCGAACTTGCTCCACTGAAAAGTTTCAAAATGGAGTATAGTTCCTTTTAGCATAAATACGTCCATGATATATTCCCAATTAAGGAGTTTACTGAAAAATTTCCCCATGCATTAGCGCATTTTTTCTCCCTCCTCCATGTCCTTGGTTATTTTTGCACGGAGGTATTGGTGCCTGCGCTGTCTTTCTGGCCGAGAGCTTTCTGAACAATAATGAAAACGTGTCGCCGCGAGCTCAAGGAGCAGCGCAAGAAAAGCGCACCTTAACACAATTAAAAGAGGAAAAATCGATAGAGAGAATCTCAGACTCCTTGGGGGAATTTCGCTCTGAACAGAAAGTATCACCTACAAAGGTACTGCCTCTTGTT